CTTTCTCTTGTAGGGTTAGAGGAGGTCAGAACATGTGGCCTCCTTGCCGTTTTTGCAAAAACAAACAAAAAAGAATTTAAATATGTAAAATGTACTCACAATTCTGAGTATGTCAGATGTTAGGTAATACTTAATAGAGATAATTCTTACCTCTTTAGCTGATTCTGATTTGAGCTCTTCTGGGTCCAATACATCTATTCTGAGTTTCTCAAAACTGTCCCGGAACTCAGTGTAGATTTGGTCATCTACTTTGGTAAGTTTCAGGAACTGTGGGTCAACTGATGAAATCAGCTGCCAGACAATAGGACAATATACATACAATAGTCTCTAATTTGCTACACTTCTATCCCCTTCCTCCAGAAAACTTTTATGGTTCCCAGGACACATTTCATTAGAATGTATAGACAGCCTAGTTCCTGACAGAGTCTCAAAGGGTCATAATACATCACAGTCTTTTCCACCAATTCAAAGCCTACCCAAATAGTCTAATGATATTGGTCAGTGACTATCTTTTTCCAGCAGCTAGTCTGGAAGAATACATAAAACAATAGATAAATCTCCTTCTCAGGACTAAGTATCAACTGACTAGGAGCTCTGGTGGCATAGTGCCTAAGATATTTGACTGCTAACCAGAAGGCTGGTGGTTCAAACCCACCCACCACTCCTCAGAAGAAAAACTGAGCAATCCACTTCTGTAGAGATACTGCCTCAGAAACCCAAGGAGGGGTCGCTATGAGTCAGAGCCGACTTGACAGCAGTGAGTTTGGTTTTTGGGATCGAATGACTACTTCCCATGTGGATTGTTCATTCATTCTACAAACACTTATTAAGTGACTACTATGGACCACATACTGATTAGACAATCAGCAACAGAAAAGAAAATTGGGCAAAGAAGCCAGAAATCCTCATTGCTAAAGGAAATTTGCTTCCACTCTCCTATTCTCTGTGGGTTAAGATCTTACCATAGTAAAAATTATCTCCAAAATCCAAGTATTTAACTTGCTGAGAATAGTAATTAGCACAGTATCATGTACTATAATTATGTATTTAATTCTGGTTAATAATGATAAAGGCAGACAATTCACCTTGTAGTAGACTTCAGCATGCTGCATTGCTCTCATGGCCCATGCCATCTCAATATCAGGCTGCAAGGGAGTAAAGAATGCCAGGTCAAAAAGGTCCCAGTCCCGCTACTGGATAACAAATTAAGGAACTCTGTGAATGTCTAGTTAATGTTCAAAAGGCCCATCAAACATGGTGTTACTGTCAAAAGATAGAAACTAGACTATTAGGTTTGAACAATTCTTTTGTCCTTGTGACAACCAAAAGAAGCTACCCAAATAGTCTAATATGGGGCAGTGACTATCTTTTTCCAGCAGCTAGTCTGCAAGAATACATAAAACAAGAGATAAATCTCCTTCTCAAGACTAAGTTGTACCATTGTAAAACTAAAATAATACACCCACCTACATCAGGGAGTTGTTGAGAGGACAAAGTAAATAAGGGAAATGAAACTATATTTCACTTTTAAGAGTGTAGTATGTCATAATCAGAGACCATCAGTGGTACAAATGATTAAGCACTGGGCAACTAACTGAAAGGTCACAGCTTTGAAAGCCCTATGGATAAGTTCTACTCTGCACACATCGGGTCACCATGTGTTGGAAATGACATGACAGCAACTAGCAGCAACAATATGTCATTATCATCATTTGTGTTTCCATCCTATAACACCTAGCAATGAATCAGAAATCAGTAGTATGAAGCAGGCCAGATTCTAAGTAAGTCTTCCCCAAACCCAGCATCTGTTCCACTGGAATCTCCCACTCCAACCAGACTGATTTATTTCACTAACCCCAGAAAAACCATTTGCATCTCTACCCCCAAGCCTTAGACTATGCCCTTTTCCTGCCTGCAATACCTCCCCTGTCAGTCAATCTGTGTCCTTTTTGTCCACCTACATTTCGAAGATACAGTTCAAGCTCTACTCCTAGATGAAG